GAGCAAAATGTACTGGAGGTGTGGCTCAAGTGGTAGAATGCCTGCTTTGCAAATGCAAAGCCCCGAGATCCTAATCCCACCAAAAAAAAAAAAAAAAAAAAAAAAAGCTTACCTAGCATGCATGAGGCCCTATTTTCAATGCCAAGCACCACAGAATAACTAAGTTAGTGGGCTATTAATTGCAGACACACTATTAGGCACAAAAGATTAAAGACATTTGAGGCCAGGTACTGGTGGCATGGCTACAATCAGGAGGATTGTGGCTTGAAGCCAGCCCACACAAATAGTTCATGAGACCCTGTCTGGAAAAAACCCAACACAAAACAGGGCTGGCAGAGTGGCTCAAGTGGTTAAGTGACTGCCTAGCAAGCATGAGAATCTGAGCTCAAACCCCATTACTGCCCACTCCCCCCAAAAAAGAAGTTTGAGTAAAACACTTTTCTTCAGTCTGCACAATGAGGTAACTTTATATTTTTTCTGTATTTTTCCCTTCAAGCTACCTTACGACGACTTGACTTTACGGGAAATTTGATAGAAGACATAGAAGATGGTACTTTTTCAAAACTTTCTCTTTTAGAAGAACTTATACTTGCTGAAAATCAACTACTGAAACTTCCAGTTCTTCCCCCAAAGCTCACTGTATTTAATGCAAAATACAACAAAATCAAGAGTAGAGGAATCAAAGCTAATACATTCAAAGTAAGTGTTTCAAAACACCAAAAAAAAAAAAAAAAAGGTAGATTCACTAGTAATTCAACTTGTAATTTAAAGACAGGATTTTAAATTGGCCTTTGAGCAACTGGCATGTTATATTAGGGGGCTTTACTTGTAAGAGGAGGGAAGGTGAACAGAGGAGACGAAGGTGAGGGAATACGGTTGATGGCTTCATATACATAAATGGAATAGAATGATGAAAACCCCTTAAGAGGGGCAGAGAGGGCTTTATACTACATATATACATGGAAATGTCATGAAACATCTTGAGGTGGGAGTGATCTAACCAATATACACCAACATACAATGTAAGACTATTTGGAATTGCCACAATGAATCCCCCACTCTGCACAATGAATATATCCTAATAAAAATGGGAAAATATTTTTGATACATATATATATATATATATATATATATGAAGGGACTTGTGGTAAGTTGGCATGTAATGATAAACTTGTGGATTTTACAGTTTTACTTTATTCCCTAAGAGCTGCAATATTGCAATATCCATCCACTGGTAAAATCAGATTGCTGTAATTAATATAAATGAGCCCCACTGGAAAGACAGGTGCTTGGTGCCCATATGGAAGAAAGGTAGGATGCTTAAGAAAGGATTAAAATAACGACATAGAAATAATTAGCAAAGTCTAGTACAGGAGGCATATCAAAGCTAAGATAAAAGAGTAACGCCAGGGGAAAATAATCACCTGAAATCAGTGTACAAACATACACAATAATGAGTTATTGATCATGAAGAGTAATCCAACATAAAGCCCTTATGGGAAAAGCCATGTCAATTTCAGCGTTTAATAAACTATAACATCTTGCTAAGCACATATCTCTTAGGAATAACCACTTGGCTAGAAATTAGAGGAAATGAGATGGGAAGCTCTGAAGGCTCAAGAGAAGTCAATGTAGCCACAGGTTCCAAAAGTCAGTTCCACATAAAGAATGACCTCATTAGCTGCTCCCCAGACAAATTCAAAGGGCCCACACGATGGCATCGGCCTAAGCATTTGGAGTTGAGGTGAATGAACAGAAATGTGAAATACTCAGCTGAGCTCTGTAGGCTCTCATAAATTTCCTAACGACCAAAATATACTACTTGTGAAACCAAAAACAACCACGAAAACAAGAAACTACCATACCAATGACAGATACTATTGATAAGTACTTTTATCTGTATCCTTTTAAAATGTATATATTGCTTGAATCCTGTGACGGAATGCCCAGACCTCAATAACAATCAAACCAAAATTTCCTTACAGAAATTGAATAATCTCTCTTTCCTCTACTTGGACCACAATGCCCTAGAATCTGTGCCTCCTAATTTACCAGAAAGTCTACGTGTAATTCATCTTCAGGTAAGATTGTTCCTTTCATGATCTCTCATTTCAATTACCAATGGGGTTGTTCTTATGACTCAGTGGGAAACTCACTCATTCTATGTAAATTATGGCTAGATCACTAAGGTAGTGTGATAGCTCAATGACTATTGAAAGTATTAATATTTAGGCACATGAACCCTTTGCCCAGAAGACTAGGTTCTATCCAGAGCACACTGAGTAGACCAGCTTAGGAGGTATAAAGTCTGCTCTTGAGTGGGATTTATCTCCAGGTGTACACTTGGTATCTTGTAGTTTTGTTTTACAAAACAAAGGATACATTTACTTTTGGAGACTTTCTAAATGGCTTTATAGGAAATCAAGAGGGAATAAAAATGAGCTAAAACTGGTCTCTCATCATCAGAATTTCAACTTGCTCTTCTTATTACTTCTTTAGAGAATATTTAAAGACATGGTACCACTTTGAGTTAACACTCTAGAATAGGATACTTTCTCCAGCCGATATAAGGCTATTTATACTCAGAACCTTGTGTTAAATGGATATTACTCTGAGCAATCGTAAGTAGCCTGTTCTTCTAAAACACTGTACACTTACAATGAGTGCTCAGATTGCACAGAGAGGGTTTTTATTAATTTGAGGATTCACAGTATGTACAATATTTTAAAAAACACTTTCAGATGAATTATTCCATTGGTTCCCATTACATAGCCTGCAAAAGGTTGATTTCAGACTTTTAAATAATTTTCCTTCTATTTTTCAGTTTAACAACATAACTTCAATTACGGATGATACATTCTGTAAGGCTAATGATACCCGGTACATTCGGGAGCGGATTGAAGAGATTCGCCTGGAGGGCAATCCAATCATGTTGGGAAAGCACCCAAACAGTTTTATTTGCTTAAAAAGATTACCTGTAGGATCATACTTTTAATTTTTTTCATATTACTAATGCAATATGAAAGCTGAAGCACACACACTTATAATCTGTCTCAACAATGTCTAAAGGAACTTAAGTATTGGATTAATATTAACTTTTTATCTCACTATGAAGGAATTTTGTGTTTTAAACAAAGAAGTTCAAAATTCTTATATATAACAAGCAAAAAGTAAGAATGAATTTCTAAGTTCAAAACTAAGTAATGTGAAAATATTTAAACAGCCTTAAAAACTCCTCGTTACACTAGACTACTATTTAAATGGCATGTTTAATGTAAATGTTCACATTTGAGGTGCATTATTTCAATCACTAGTGAAGTAAGACAAGTCCAATTAACTTCCAATTGTTTGTCTTTGCTGGCCTTTACTGTATCTCTGAAGCATTTAAGACAGATGTTCCAAAAACTTTGAAAAGCTAATATTTCCAGTGTTTTCCCATTTTTGTTTTATGATTGATGCATCATTATTTACTATGAAGTATTCACTATTCCTATCAAGGCAGCTATTTTACTTAGCTTAAGAAATAGGATATAGTCTCATATCTAGGCAAAATTTTCCAAATTAAGTAGAATTTTATTCACTGATAAAGAGCTGATAGAAATATTCAAAGTTTTCTGCCTTGTGGTCACACTGCTGGTCTTTAGTAAAGTACTAAAAAAAATTCTTTTACCTAAACATTAACATTCTAACTTTACCATAAAACACCTTAAAGTTATCAAGCAAGTCAAACTCAGTAAGCTTACAACAAGCAAAAATTCTGTGTTATTTCTCAGAGAACAGTAAAGATCTTCAAATATGAAATAATTACAAAATATTTTCAACTATAGAAATAGTGTTTCCTCAATACATTTGTTAAAATATAAGAAATGAAAACAAAGTGCCACCACCTTCTTGCTTGCCCATGCACATACACTTTGACACAAACAGACGGAATATCCATAATAAAGTTTTTGAGCAACATTTTCTCAATAGCCATGCTGGACGAATACATTTAACAGTGAAAGCCTCATCTATCAAAGTGAAAACTCAAGGATGCCAGATTAAATTTCCCAAACTAATCTTTCTCTTAACTATATTTCACTCAAGAGTTTTAGTGACACATTGCTTTTGGAGCTATATACAAAATTATAAGTGCTTTAGAAACATGCATCTGACCTGTATAAAAGAATCAATATCATTTCCATCATAAATTATTTTCTGGAGTTAAGTTGTTTTCTGTATATTATTTCCACAACACATACTTATTCCTATTTTTAGGCATGTCCCTCCCTCACTTGTCAAGGTTGATACCAACATGAAACTTCTCTACTAAAGCATCTATCATCTCTTAAGGCCATAATTATTACTAAATAGTGCTTATTAGCTCATTCAATTTTTTTGATGGGTAATGATCATTAACTATTAAACTGCTTTCATCACTATGTGCATGCCTCATTTTCTATGTGACTGAAACATCACTGAGAGCGCTGAACACAGCTTTATCGTTATACCTGTATGGTATCCAGCACAATAATAACCACATTTGAATTAAATGTACAATAAACATTGTAAAACCTACCCAAGAAAGAGTTTTATTTGGAAAAGCAGACTCTTTATACTGTCATAATCTTGATAAAGATTAAAATATGGTATATCCCCACAAGGGAATATTATTTAGCCTTAAAAAGGTAGTATGACACTGCTACAACACAGGTAAAACTTGAAGATGTCACACTAAGTAAAGTAATCCAGACAAAAGGACACTCCACTTGTGTAAGGTGCCTAGAATGGTCAAATTAATATAAAAAGAAGATGGAACAGTGGTTACCAGGGGTTGGATCAAGCAGGGAATGGAAGCACTGGGTATAGAGTGTCAGTTTAGGAAAAAGAGAGAAGTTTGGTGGTAACGGCTGCAGAACAATGTGACTCTCTTTTCCCATCCTAGCAATGTCATCAACTGGCAAAGAACAGCTCCTAGAGCACTGTCCTCCATGAAAACAATACATCAGTTATACTTACAAAATTGTATTTCAACTGCCTGTGGAGAGTACCTGAAATCAAACTGAGGCAGGCTAGAATTAGGGAAAGTTTGGGACTCACAAAAAAATATATGACTTAATATTTTATGTATACGTAGGTTGCCCAGATATGGCTGAGATCACCCTCCCATAGCCCTAGAAACACTCATGCTCCTCGCCGCTCAAGGATTATTGGATAGGAATTACCTGGTTTTTCATGTCCCATAGGTTAGCATAGGTTTTAAAAGCACCTAGAGAAGAGAAGCACGCTCTCTCTGCTTCCATATTTCATCTGGGCCTCACCACGCTCCCTTTTTGTATTTCCCTTCCCTAACTTTTAATAAACCCCAATTACACAAATTGTCCTGTTATGGATTCTTCTCTGTAGGACACAAGAACTTTGGAAGTATGATCACAGACTATACCGGAGCCATTAACAAAACCAACACTGGAAATGGGACTAGAGTTCACATATCCCATGACCCACTCAGATTCACAAAGAAACATCACTACTAGGTGATTCATTCATTATTGTAAATGCCAGCATAGTACCTGATTACTTTCGAATTTTACTAATTTTTAAAAATTTATTAGCATACTATAGTTGTAATGGGGGCAACTGTGACATTTACTAAGTGCTTAGAATATCTTAGATTTACTCCCTCCATCTTTTTTTTAATCCCCGCTCACCCCATGAATTTTACTAATTGTGAAGCAAAGATACTTAATTGTCCTGATATGCAAGAGAAAGAAAGAGAAAAAAAAATCACTGTAATTAAATTTCCCAACTTCACTAGTCTACATTAAGATCAACTAGCCAGAGCCCAGGGGTTATCATAGGATACTTTTAAATCAGCTACTCACCTAAAACTTAATTCTTTCTTTACTCAAGAGTAATCCACAAGCCTAGTGCCTATATTCCTAGCTACTCAGGAGGCAGACATCATCAGGAGGATCATACTTTGAAGCCAGCCTAGGCAAATAGTTCTTGAGACTCTAGCCCGAAAATACCCAACACAACATAGGGTTAGTGGAGTGGTTCAGGCCATAGAGTACCTGCCTAGCAGGTGTGAGTCCCTGAGTTCAAATTCCATTGCTGCCAAAAAAAATAATACTCATTCACAGAGGATCACACCTATAATCCTAGGTACTTGGGAGGCAGAAATCAGGAGGATTGTGGTTTGAAGCCAGCCTGGGCAAATAGTTCAAGAGACCCTATCCCCCAAAAAACTCAACACAAAACAGGGCTGGCAGGGTGGCTCAAGTGATTGTTCACCTGCCTAGCAAGCTCAAGGCCCTGAGTTCAAACCCTAGGAACCACCCCTCTCCCCCAAAAATAGTAATCAACACCCTAAACATCTGCTAGGCCTGGGAGTTTACACAGGCAGTCTCTGTAACTTAACAAGACAAAGACCCAGACCTAAGACCTATATCCTTGACATCTGATAAAGCAAAGGCTAGAAATTTCAAATAGAAATTTTCTATCAAGTAGAGCAGGGACTGGTAGTCTACACAGGTAATCTCTACCATTTAACAAGACAAAGACCCAAGCCAGGAAATCATTCCAGGGGCCAAATGAATTCAAAGCTAAGAGTCCTTCAATAAACCAACTCTAAAACCTGACCTGAAAAATAAATAAATAAATAAATAAATAGGATTCATATCCAATCTGTCTCTTCCTGTGAGAGGTAAGAACCATCCTCCCTGTCCTGTCTCTTTCTCTCCAGGTTGTGTCTTCTCTCCATGCTGCTTTTGCTTTTCCTACCAGGTTACTAAGTCCCAACTGTTCTTACTTGGATCTCTAGCCTGCTTCTTCTGACCTTCGGGTTTCATTTTTCTCTTCCTCTCTTTTCCCTTTTAGAACACTAACTGGGAGAAAAATTTATTCCAAGTACGATCTTCTATTGTTATTAAGGCATTTACTTTTCTTGTTGTCAGACTACTGCCCAATTTTCTCAAGGGATTCCCTTTGTGTAGTCAAGAATGGCCCAGGCCATAAGAATAGATAAAGCAGGATCATTCCTCAGGATTAAACCAGAGCTCAATGAAGCTAACAAATGGTCTCACCAATACCTATCAAGGATGCAAGAAATTAGGAAAGGGCTTCAGGCCACACCCAGGTGAAGGCACCTCCACCTACAATTCCGAGCTGGGTTTGAGCATCATTCCCAGAATCCAGGAAGGCTAATGCAGGGTGGACCAAGCATAGGTAAATGTAGACACTCCTGCTCATCCCAACGTTCCACTCAACATGGGTGTAGACTGGCCACACATCCATGGTTCAATTCAGAGGCCAGGTGGCAGGAAAGTGACACCTTGTCTTTTCCCTGTCTATACTACAAACCTAAAAAACTGGGAGTTCTTTGACCCTCAGACCCTAAAGTCTGGAAAGAAAAGAAGTGCCAATGGGAAGACATTAAAAAAGGTGTTGCTATGCTAATTTCCTGGTTACTAGAAGCGAAGCAGGCTAGCAACAGGAAAATAACTCACCACAGGACTCCCTTCCCTTAAGCAAACAGATATCCCCATGCTAGAATTAAAAAAAAAAATTTTTTTTTTACTTTACAACTCCCCCAGCACCACCATTAGCCATCTTTAGAGCAATAAATCCCCTCTAAGTTGTAAATACCCTGGCAGTTCAAAGAATCTTTGTAAGATAGGTGCTTCTGAACTGGGCTTGCCTGGCAAAAGGGAAGTCTGCCCCCAATTTGACTGCTCAGGCAAAGTCGTCTACTTAAGACTTTATGGAGCCAGGCACCAGTGGTTCACGCCTGTAATTCTAGCTACTTAGAAGGCAGGGATCAGGAGGATTGTGGTTTGAAGCCAGCCCAGGCAAACAGTTTACAAGACCCTATCTCAAAAATACCCAACACACACAAAAAAAGGGCTAGTGGAGTGGCTCAAGTGCCTGCCTAACAAGTGTGAGGCCCTGAGTTCAAACCTCAGTACTGCCCTTCCCGCCAATAAAAAGGGCCTTATGAATTTATGAATATTGGTTGCATCTCATACAATTAAGGGCCTAGAAATTAGCATAAGATCATGTGCAGAATACCCCCATGTTATGCAAAAAGGCTGTGTTAATTAAAGCTGCCAGCCATACAAGCACCTCCCTAAGGACTGCCAAGATTTTTCCTGCCTTACAACTTATAAATTGGTCTTAACAAACAGACCGATGCTTCTGTGCCACCTGGGAGGAGCCCACTGCTCTTTTATCTTGATGTGCTTCCTCTTACTTTTTCATTAAAGTGTTGCTATTGTTTTGCAACTTGTGTCTCTGCCCAGTTCTTTGTTCAGATAACACAAGAACTTAGGATCTTCTGAATTATTGTCTTCTTAGATCACTCAGCCCAGTAACAGGACACTTCAACAATGACCACACAGGTTCACCTAGTTCATGGGTCAGGGGAATACTCCTCCCATGACCTAGGCTCAAGGTTTTGACCTAGGCACAGGGCTGTCTCTTTGGGAGGAGACATCCTGCCTATATGACAACAATTGGCTCTTTTAATTTCTTCCAGATGGGAAACATGTCATCCATTCCTGCAGATACTCCCTTGGGATAGATTCTTAAAACTGGGATGATTTGACTGTAAGATGTTAAAATGAAAAAGACTTAGATTTTTCTGCAACTCTACTTAGCAACAACATGATCTTGAGCCAGAAGAAAAATGGCCTTTAAATGGTAGCCTTAACTATATAACCTTCTTCAATTGGATTCTTTTTCTGTAAGTGGGAGGGAAAATGGTCAGAAATGACATATTTACAGTTTTTTTCCTTCTTATGGGCTAATAAGGAACTCTGTTAACAGTGCTGTCTTTGATGAAGCAATGCTGGCCAAACTAGATAATATCCCATGCCCAAGATGTGCTCACCTCCCAAATGTAAACAATGAAAAAGGGAGGTCCTGAGCTTATTGATCCTACTCCTCCTAAGAGCACTCCTCCCCTGTCTGCTAATAGACTTGATGTCCACTTACCATTTGACCTACCCCCAACCTATTCAAAACCCACTCCAAGAATTTGTCCTCTCTAGGAAACAGGGAATGAGTATGGCCCAACAAAAGTACAAATTTCTCTCTCTATGCAAGATATGAAACAAATAAAGCAAGACTTAGGAGAATTTTCAGAGGACCCAGATAAATATAAAGAGAGATTGCAGCCCTTAGCTCAAATTTTCAATCCATCCTGGAAGACATAGGTACTATCCTGTCCTAAACCCTGACAGATAGTGAAAGGCAGGATGATAATGACTGCTGCCAGGACATACAGACAACAAGACAAGTTTCTCACTTAATTGGCTCCAACATTGTAAGAAAATTATAAAAATGGGCCTTGGAACCTGATGCCTCTCTTCAGGAAATCCTCTGCAGGGCCTCCTTGGATTTTTGCAGTCAAGACCAGGTGAAAGAAAGGAAAGCTTGTAAGGTCTTTACAGGCATTTCTACCTCCAGTGAAAATAAGGCTCTCTAGGCAAATGTCATATTTGCAAGAAACCAAGGCACTGGAAGAGTGAATGTCCCAATGTGGGGAAACTTCCTAAAACTTTTCTGCCCACAGTGTGAACAGAAGGGACACTGGAAGAGAGCCTGCCCTGAGGGTAAAGGGACATTTGTCCCAACTCTCCTCAGATGGTGGTCCAGGAATGGGGAGACCCTCAGATGCAGCGGTACCCACTCTTGCTATTGACATCCATGGCACTGAACTGAGGGTTACAACTGAAGTGGAAGGTAAGAACATTAAAATGCTCATTGACACTAGGGCCACCTACAGTGTGTTGCTGTCCTATCTGGTCAGCTTTCCTCTGATTCTAGCCAAGTGGTAGAAGTGGATGCAGTCCCTAGAATTAGGCATTTTATTCCTGTTCTTTGTTGCGATTGGGAAGAATATATTCCCCCATTTCTATATTCTATCATTCCTTTCAGGTAATGCCAGAATGTTTGACTCCCCTTATGGGAAGAGACTTAATGAGTAAGCTGGATGCATACTTGACCTTTCCTTTTCAGCTGAGTTAGTTTTTTCTCTAATGGCTATAAAGGATTTACCAATCACTCCTCAAAGGAATTAGCCATAGATTCAGTGATATGGGAAACAGGAGTCTCTGGCAGAGCCATTAGTCTCTGGCAGAGCCTATTTAGATTACATTAAAGGACCCATCTATTTTTCCCTCAAAAAACAATACCCCTTAAAAAAAGAGGCAAAAAAAAAAAAGAGGCAATAAAAGGGCTATAGCTCTTAATAACTAAATTCCTTCAATATGGACTATTGGCCCCCTATAATTCTCCTTGGAATACTCCTGTCCTTGCAGTATAAAAACCTGATGGGGATTATAGATTTGTCCAAGATCTCATTAATGAGGCAGTAATCCCCACTCATCCAGTGATACCTAGTCCTTATGTACTGCTAAACTCTATTCCACCTAACACTCAGTGTTTTACAGTTTTGAACCTCAGGAGGCTTTCTTTTGAATTCCACTTGATAAGGGTTCTCAATTTCCTTTTGCTTTCACCTTGAAAGAACAGAAAAGCAAAACTCAGCAACTAACTTGGACTGCGCTACCTCAGTGGTTCAGGGATAGCCTCTACTTTTTTGCCCAAGCTTTAGCCTGGGACTTAGAAGATTTATACCTCAAGGAAGGACTTATTAAACAATATGTAGGTGATTTGCTAATTTGTTTACCCACAGAAGAACCGGCTAAACAACATGGGAAGGCACTTTGAACTTCCTAGCTCAAGGGGGCCACAAGGTTTCCATGTGAAAGGTGCCTCCCTGGGATCTGTACTCACTCCTGAAGAGGGCACTATCCCTAGGCTAGGTTTAGCTATGCAACAATTGCCCACCTCCTATTAGAAGGCAACAGAGCCTTTTTAGGATTGACTCGTTCTGGATCCCTGGATATTGAAATATTGCCAAACCCTTATAAGGGAGGTTAGGATTAGGGAAAGTTTGGAAGTGAGACCCCTCCCTGACATGCTTTAAGAGCTCCATTGTAATTACAATAAGTTAGAAAGAATGAGAACTTCCTCCCTCATGGGTGGGGCACCTGAGAATCAACATAGGTGTATACAGGGGTCACGTGCCCAGCTCCTCCCCCTGGCTTAAAGGTCAAAGGAGCCAGGTAATGATATGCCCGGCTCCTCCCCCTGGCTCTAAGGTCATTGAAACCAGGTAATGACACATAATCTCTCCCTGCCTCCAAGTTTAAGGTAGTATAAAAATGACCTAAAATAAACCATGGCCCCCTTTTTAATCTCTTACCCCTGGTGCAGAGCCCTCTCTCTCAGTAGAGAAGGTAATTCCTTTCCCCTTTCCTACAATAAAACTTTTCATTCTCACAACACCCACATGTCCTGCTTGTATTCTTCCACACTGAGCACAAGGACTGAGATCTTCTAAGAGATACTTTCCGCCATTAACACTTATATGAAGCCTTACAGACAACTCTGGACTTGAACCCCTTTCTCTAGAACCATCCCAGATACAGACCTTTGGACAACTTACAGTCTACTTCCTAGAGGCACCAGCCCTGATGCTTCCCAACTTAGAAAAAAACTTTGTAGACTATATATCTCAGAGAAAGGTGGCATCACCCTGGGGGTACTCACTCAATTCCTCTGGGCCCTACGCAGTGACCTGTGGGATATTTGTCAAAATGCCTGGATCCTATAGCTAGAGCATAGTCTCACTGCTTGAAAGGAATTGAGGCCACTGCCATTCTTTTACAGGATTCATTTAAGCTCACTTTGGGCAACCCTACACCAATTTACTCACATAATCAAACTGTCCCTTTGTTGTAACTTAAAGGCTCTTACTGTAAGAGGCACTCAAATTGCTTTTGCTGAAAAGCACTGACTCCTTCTTGGACCCGTGGATTAACTGACAGCAGGAGAAAAACATGGCATCTGTTCTCCATTTTGTATTGGTCTCTGCTTTAAGCCATTCTCTTTGCAGTCATCTTGGATTCCAGGGAAGATAGATGATAACAACTTTATGACAAGGAACTGAAACTACCCCTCAACAGTATACTCTCCTTTGGATGGACCACCTGCCTAGCTCCAGATAACAACTTCTGAACCTCTCCCAAAATAATGGTCAACCAGAATATACCTATGACTGTGACTGTTTAACTATGCATACATTTGTCCCCTGCCTCCAGTTCTTTTCTCTACTTGAACCTATTGCTCATGTCTGTACTCTGAAGATCGCTGAAGATGAACCGAGTGCTTACTCTGCTTCTTCCTACAACATGTCCTGAGCCATGTAATAAACCTCCTTCCTCTCCCTTCACCACATCTCTTTATTTGGTGTTTAGGAGTGAGTCAATGGAACTGGCATATTGAATCTCAGGAGTTTCAGTCTTGGGTCCAAAAACTCCAGTTTCATTACTGACTCAAACAACTGACTTCATTATCAGACTGTACTTTTAGAAAATCCTGAGATATCCATCCATTCACACTTGCAACCCCTGTGTATGCTCTGGGCCATAAACATCTAGAAATTATGACCTCTATCTATGCAAGTAGTGAATATTTAGAAGACAGACCTCTAGATAACCCTGATAGAAGCTCCTTTACGCACAATGGAGTCCAAAAAACACTTCATAGTTACTTTACTCTTAAAGTTTATCTCTAATAAACTTTACTGTTATTTTTATTATATCTTTGCATCTTGTCTGAAGTCTTCTCCTGCCAGATGCAAGAACTGAGGTATTTATTGGCTCTTTTTCTGTGGTAACAAGACTACATATGAGAAAATATAACAAAATTATGAGAACTCCACAAAGGCCTACAGTATGGGAACTGCATATTTCATTCTGGAGAAAATCCTATACCTGACAACTTGACTAAACCAAACAATAAATTTAATAATAATAGTAATAAACCAAAATAAAGAAGAATTAGTACCAGTCCTAAAAATAATAGTCATGACATGGTTATACTGATTCTTTCAGAACCTGTTTTTGTGTGCTCACTACTTACTGTCAATAATTTGGTGCTACCCAACAAGCAGTCTTTCAATGCAGCCAAACATAACTCTGGTTATGCTCCAAAACAAAGTAATTAAAGAACACTTTAACATGTTTCTATCAGACATTAAAAGCCTTATTTCATAAGAATCAAGCTTCAATATTTAAACTCAGAATGTGCAATAACAAAGCAGCTCAAAATACAGAGTCTGGCTTAGGAAGTTAAGCTCCATTGTAAGGTTGCTAGTATTATATTCTTTATTATCATTTATTATTTTAAGTATCTTTGAAAACCTATTTTTTCAAAATGTGTATCTTAACATAAATTAGAATAAATAACAAAAATGTGAGGGAAATAACAGTGGTGACTCCACTTTGGATGAGGGAGACATTTTAGAAGCAGTCACCTAAAGGGGCATGAGAAACAATAAGCTTCTTAGAGAAATAATAAGCCTCTTACCAAAATAACAAAATGCAGCTGCAAGATGTAGGTGGTGGGTCCCAAGGCCAGGAGGAGTTGCCCAGCCCTTCTCAGAACGTTCTATTCAATAAGGATGGGGAGGGACAGGTGGCCAGGTTTTGCTGGAAGTTGACCATGCACCAGACAATCACAAATGTAGTGAGTTTCAAGATAGAATGGGTGGACCTACGTCAGGTAGAGCCCTATATCACTCCTCGACAACAGCTATACTACAGTTTAGTTTTCCCTAAGCTCCTCCTGCACTGGAAGATTTGCTATCTTTTCTACAAACCTTGTGCTTTTTTTCCTCTTAATTCCTGGTCTGGCATCTACAATCATTAACTTTATCTAGACATGAACTTGGGATCAGTGATCCAGTATCACAAAATATTCCAAATACTCCATAATATAAATTATTCACTGATTTATACAGATGTTCCTTCCCCATTTATTACAAATAACTGCAGGTTCTTGAAGCCAGTGAAAATATTTTCTACTCTTTGAAAGCTTTAAGAAAAGTACGTTATGGCTGAATCCTCAAATTAACACCAGCTTCATTTTCGACATATATTTAGATTCAAAACCTTTAGACTTTACCTTGAAATATTTAAATGTGTGCTTCCGATATTCATACCACTCCACAAAAAAATGTAGGCTTTGGAAAAACATAAGCAAATCTCTTCTTTCTCTGCTCTGTAGAAAAAAAAATTCTATGATTAATAAACATCATTAAATGACAGACTCTGTCTAGCTTTCTTTATTATTCCTTTTCTTCCACTAACACTAAGTACTTCCTATACTTCTAGACACAGAACCATGAACTTTGGCAAGTGTTCCTCCTTGACTGCTAATGCTGATTACTAATGCTACCAGGCTGAGAAGCCTGGAAAACCCTACTCGAACATCTAATCTATCCATTTTTAAATCACTCAAATGCCACAGTCTCCATAAATGTTTATTTGCTGAATGCGATATAAGAAAGAATATATTATGTGGCAGACCATTTCAATCCTGAAGTTCCTGAGTGATTAGGAATGTCTTCATTATGCTAATGGTGGTGATGGGACTCAGGTAGATCTCAGATTCCAGCAGGTTGGCAGCTGGTTACCAGAACGACTAACCATATCAGTGGAGGGGTAGAACTGTGGGCTAGCAAGACCATCAATGAGAGGGCACTGGAGATTGAGTTCAACAACATGACCAAACATGCCCAATAAAAACTCTGAACACAGGCACTCTGTGGCAATTCCTGGTTGTTGAACATATTGCTAGGAGGGTGATGTGCTAGATTTAAAATATATATATATACTGTACTACTCCCAAACCTGGGCCTATGTGTTGCTTCCATTTGGCTATTTCTGGATTTTATCCTTCATGTATTCAGTAAGTTCTGTGAGTGGTTCTACCAAATTATTGAACCTGAGGGGGTCATGGGAATTTCTGAATTTATAGCCCATCAGATATAAGTATGGTTGGACACTCATACTCCCAGCTGGTGTCTGAAGTGGAGGCAGTCTTGTTGGGGACTTTGACCATAACCTTGGGATCTGCTAGTGTCAGAATTGAAGAGAAATGCAGGACACCTGAGTAGAACCAGAATAATGACCTCACCATACCATACATCCAATTCCCTCATAGCTATAAAATAATTTCATTCCTTTGCCTATGGGCTCCCAAATGAATTTAATTCTCTTAATATTATATCTATTGTAAAAGTGTCAGCCACATAAACTACATGCAACTTGAGGCCAAGATCTATGAATTCACTTAATCATTCAACAAATGGCCACAGGACTTGAGTTCCTGCTCTAGCTACAATGGAGTATTAAGTGCATTTCACTTGAATGCTCCCATTAACTACAATTTAAAACACTGGACGTAATACATAAAGCAAACATCCAAAGATCAGAAATATGGACAAACAAAAGTAGAAAAGGTAGTCTTCAGGAATCAAGGGAGAACCTGGAGATAAATTCAGCAGAGTTTTTGTTTTTTGCCTCCTGAATATCTGAATCTGCATACCAAAACAGCCTTCTATCCACAATGGCCAAAGGGTAAAGTCAAAAAAAAACAATAAGAAGCCAAAGAAAGAGCACTATCTGTAGCTGGTGTAGTCTATGAAAGATGAAAACCTGGGGTCCCTGCAGAATGAAACCCTAAGATCAAAGAGTAGTGGGCACCTTTCACTTATAATCAGGTACTCTGGCTACAGAGACTGGTGAGAAGCCTGTTGTCAATTGGCACTGCCAGCAAAAATTAAAAGCAAGCACAGCAGGGACTTTCTCTTCCAATCAGCCGCTGAGAGGGGGAGATTGTGGAGGAAGTGTGTCAGGGTCTGACACCATGTTTGTACAAGCAATAAATGCAGGCCATTCTTATTGCCCTCCAGCAAGGCTGCTGCACACCAGGGGATACTCTGTCACTTTATCTCACCCTAAAATAGCAAAGGCAGAGAATTATAAAGAACTTGAAGAAGACAATCCTTTACATCTATTGATGAACTCATGAGATAACTACCAAATGTCTTGTACACAAAACCAACCAGAACATACAAACCAAAAATACTGAGAACTGACCTATGGTGTAGAAGTCCATAGTTCAGATCAGCCTCAAAGTAGCAGTTTAAATCAACACATCTGAACTTCAGATCATACCAGAGGGCCAGGATGTGCTTTTGAAAAAAAAATGCATTGAGGAGATCCAAGATGGCGACTAGGGTACAGAAGCAGATGGCGTGAGTTCCATGACTCCAAAACCTTGCTGAGAGCTGGAGCCACACTTGGCGGAAATAAAGCAGCAAGGAGAATCAAAACTTGGACACCCTGAACACCTAGCCCATGGAAAGCTTCTCCATACCACATTACAATGAGAGAACAGGAGGGCTGCCATGCTGCCAGATCCTGGCTCCAAACCTGCTTGGGAGACATTTGGCAGACCAAACAGGTGAGCACCAAGTGTCACACAGTATCCCCCAGTCACCCCTGGGATAAACAAGCATAGCCCCCTGGGCAGACTGACCACCCGCCCCCAGCAAAAAACCCAAAAAACCAAAAAAACTGAATAAACAAGGAACTGAAAACTAACACACAGCAGAGGGGTGGAGTTGCTGAAAGTGTACCAGAGAAGGGGGGGAGAGCAAGGAGCTGCTCTCCACACGAACTTTCAGTAAACAAACAGCTGGAAAGGCAGAAGGGCTGACAGAGGGTGGGTGATAAGCTGGTGCCTGAAATAGGGCAGGTAGCAGTCCACAAAGCTCATCTCCTGAACCAGTGAGCAACATCCAAAGTCAAATGACACTGCAAAATTGAAAAATAATCAGCAAAACATCACAGCATGCTGACAGCAGGGGAATGGCAACAGATCACTGACCTTGCCCAAGAGAAAGGTGGCAAGGCAAAGAAACAAGCCCCCAGTAATCAAGAACAGTGAAAACCCAACTCCAAAGCAGGTCAGCTAGTGTGCTACAAAGCTGACTATGGAACCTGAGGACAACATACAAACTTAAACTGCCACACCCCACTAAGGGAGGAGCTGAGCAACACTGCTTCTGAAAGACAGAAGAAAAGACAAACAAACACTACCCAACCACCTGGATAGACCACGACAGAGCTTCTGCTTAAATACCAACACCAGGATAGGATGCTGGAGGAGTAACACCAGAACTTAAAATAAGACTTAAATTCTATTGTTCCTGAACCTGGAATTTTTGTTTGTTTGTTCTGTTTCTTGTTTGTTTGTGTTTGTTCATCTCTCCACATTGATTTCTTTGGGGTTTTTTTTGTTGTTGTTGTTGTTAGCTTTACTATTGTGAATTAGCAAATACTAAATTATACCCAGACCACGGACAGAAATAACACACACACACACACACACACACACACACACACACACACACACACACTTAGCTACAAACCCAATAAAGCCACAAAACAAAATTAAACCAAAGGACAGGTGACTGAAACCACCAACTAGCCTATCAAGAACATAGTTACACAGTACAAAGTGGAGCGATGGGAAGATGAGAAAGGGATGGAAACCATACTCTCTCCAAAAATAATTTAATACAGGATTCAGAAGGAAATCAAGAAAATGGATACCAAGTTTGGAATCCAACAAAACAAAGATAAACGATGCCAAGGAACCCAAGCATGCCCACAAGAACAACCTGAAAGTAGAAATCCTATAAGTAATCACTGAGAATTTAATGGAGATGATACTAGACATGGCTAACCAAAATGTACAAAAGGCACTCAAGAAATTTCAAGACACCAAAAATAAACAATAAAAGAAGACAAAGAAACAAATAAATGAACTCATAGGGGTTGTAAACAAACATGAAAGTGAAACACAGAACACTATAAATAGAGAGATAAATGAATTAAAGATGAAAATTGACAATATTAAAGAGGAAGTGACCCATGATATGGAAAACTTCAGAGAAAAGAATGAAACTGAAATACAAAACACAATGGAAGGCCACTCTAGAAGACTAGGACAAGTGGAAGACAGACTCTCAGAAATTGGAGACAAATGGAAATTAAAGGAAAAACTGAAAAGCTGTTAGTCAAACAACTCAAAACCTGCAAAAGAAATATGCATGAACTCACTGACTCCATCAAAAGACCAAACCTGAGAAGCATGGGCATTGAAGAAGAAGAGGTGCAAGCAAAAGGGATTTGTAATATATTCAACAAAATAATAACAGAAAATTTCCAAAACCTAGAGAAAACTATGCCCATTCAGGTACAGGAAGCCTCCAGGACACCAAACAGATTTGACTAAAATAGAACTTCCTAATGACATATTATCATTAAAACAACAAGCACAGAGAATAGAGAAAGAATATTGAGGGCTATAAGAGAAAAAAGACAAATAACATACAAAGGTAAACCCATCAAAGTCACAGCAGATTTCTCAATGGAAACCTTAAAAGCAAGAAGGGCATGGAGTGAGGTATTCCAGGCACTGAATGAAACAACTTCAACCCTAGGATACTCTACCCAGCAAAACTATCATTCAAAATAGATGGAGCAATAAAAGTCTTCCATGAAAAACAGAAACTAAAACAATATATGACCACCAAGCACCACTACAAAAGATTCTTCAACGAATTCTGCACACAGAAAATGAAAGCAAACAAAACCATGAGCAGACAGGCAACACCAAACCACAGGAGAAGAAAAGACAAGCAATCAGAAAGTAACACTGATTCACCTGCACACAATCAAATCCTTAAATAACAAAAACAACTAAATGACAAGAATTGCCACATACCTGTCAATATTAACACTGAATGTTAATGGACTTAACTCCCTTTGAAAAGACACCACCTGGCAAACTAGATTAAAAAGGAAGACCCAATAATCTGTTGTTTACAGGTGACCCATCTCATTGACAGAAACAAGCACTGGCTTAGGGCAAAAGGGTAGAAGATTTATCAAGCCAATGGTTCCCAAAACCAGGCAGAAGTAGCAATACTTATCTTGGACAAAGTAGACTTCAAATTTAAATTGATCAAACAAGATAAAAAAGGACACTCCACACTAATAAAAGGGGAAATACACCAAAAGGAAATAACAATTATCAACCTATATGCACCCAGTCAGTGCACCTAATTTCATCAAACATACTCTGAAGGACCTAAAAGCATATATACACTCCAACACAGTGGCAGTGGGAAATTTTAATACCCC